GGAAAGCCCTAAATTGGTTTAAGTCTTTTCTTGAAAATAGAACCTTTTCGGTAAATATTGGAGACTTTGTATCTAGTACAGCCCCACTTACGAGTGGAATCCCCCAGAGTTCCATTCTGGCTCCAATGTTATTTTCCATCTATATGCTGCCATTAGGCTCAATTTTTAAGAAATATGACATTTCCTTTCATTGCTACGCAGACGACACTCAAATTTATCTCCCCTTAAAACAAGATAAACACTGTTTAGACTCTCTACTATCCTGCCTTAATGATTTAAAGGCCTGGATGGCTGTACATTTTCTAAATTTAAATGAAAATAAGACAGAGATTATTTGTATTTGGGCACCCTGAATCAAAAAAAAAAAATCCAATCTTAATCTTGGCCCTCTCTCTCTCCATATGTAAAACCCTGTGTAAAAAATCTGGCAGTCTATTTGGATAGTGCTTTGAAGTTCGATACTCAGGTCAGCTCTGTGGTCAAATCTAGTTTCTTCCATCTAAGAGCACTGGCAAAAGTGAAGTCCTTTCTGTCTTATAAGAACTTTGAGAGGGCTATTCACGCCCTCATTACATCAAGGCTCGACTATTGCAATGCACTTTATATAGGGATAAGTCAAGGCTTACTTTCTAGACTTCAAGTGGTTCAGAATGCAGCGGCCAGGCTCCTGACTGGGGTTAAAAAATATGAACACATCACACCAACGTTAATGTCATTACATTGGTTGCCGGTTCGCTACAGAATTGATTTTAAGGTCCTTTTAATGGTGTATAAAGCTCTAAACGACTTGGCACCTTCTTACCTTACTGATCTTTTGTTGGAATATGACCCAGGGAAGTCCTTGAGATCATCAAATCAGGGAATATTAGTGGTTCCAAGAACAAAATTTAAATTCAGAGGTGACCGGGCATTTGCAGTAGCTACGCCAAAACTGTGGAATAGCCTGCCGGCTAGTATTAGGACTGCCAGAACTGTAGGTAATTTTAAATAAAAACTGAAGTTTTATTTGTTTGAAATGGCTTTTAACAAATGACATAGTGTCATGTTATAATTTGCATGTATTCACTTTTATTCTTTATTTTATTTTTTGGAAACTATTGCTTAATGTTTATGTACAGCACATTGGTCAATAGCTGTTGTTTTAAATAGTGCTTTATAAATAAAGTGACATTGACATTGACATTGACTCGACTCTAGGCATTTGGTTTGCTAAAATTGTTACATTTACAATAATTGAAATTGTTATATTTATAAGAATCTATCTAAAAGTGGACTTTGCTGTGCGTATTGATTGGGTTTTGGCACTTTTCACCTTAGTATTGGGTGATATGTTCCAGTAATGGCCACAATACACAGTATTAACTTTCTTATTTCTCGTTGGTAAGAAATTTAATGATTTCAATGATTTTGACAATGGTTTACATTAAAAGTTGCCTGTTGCTTTATAAGAGAAATCATGGCAGTTGCAGATATTTATTTACAGTGCTACCACTCATTTCAATCAGTCTCTGACAACAGTTATTTTCTGCACTGTAATTATTTTAAGATTCAGTGTTTAATACAAGCTCTGTTTATGGATTTAGTAATTAAAATAATTAATTAATTAATTAAAATAATTGCTGCTGTCTAAATTAGACTGATTTGATAATTCTATTTAATTTTAGTAATATATTGTAAAATAATTTGAATAATGTAAATGTTATTTTATTTAAATATATTTTGAATTACGTGTTTTACCAGTACTGTCTAATTTCAGCTTTTTAATTAAAATTGTCTGATTTTTGGTGTTGTCATTATTTATGACAAACAAAATCTTTGACTTGCTTGCTGTTACAGACCACATCTGTAAATTTACATTACAAATTACTTTTATGTTTACGGGTGGATCTTGACCCTTTTAATACAGAGGAAATGGAGACATGTGGAAATAATTAGGAGCAGTTGCTAATGTGCCATCTTAATCGTAACATCTGTGATTCAACCGCAAAATATAATGCAGTCCATTCGGTATTCCTTGAATCCATATACCTCCCCAGTATTTACATATATTCTCAGTAATTCTATGTGTGTTTACACTGAGTTCTCCCTGTTGGCTTTGACTGTTTGGATTGAGTGTTTGCGGTGTATGTGCAATGATCACTGCACATTTCCAGCATTGTGTAACACATCAGACATCTCCGGACCTCTATATTCTGGCTTGTTCTGGAGTTTTAGGGTGTTTATCGAACCCAGGTTCACATAAGGACTAACTTTTTTGGATCAAAATACGGACATTTTTGACATTGCAAATGAATGTAAGACAAACAGTAGCTGCTAAACTCAAATGGAGGCATCACTAAAATCAGCCAAGACATAAAGTAAAGCTCACATCTAACACTATGCAGTTTATCTGGGATGTTTATTAGGTGTCTGTTATGTCTCTCTCACACACACATACACACATACGCACAGCACAGTACCTGCAGGTCTTCAGTCCAGTGCTTGACTCTGAGTCTGTGAGTCAGTCAGTGGATGCAGTTACTATGGCGACAGCATCAGTATTTACTGGTTAGGGTGCAGAACGGAATAGTGATACAGTAATAGGTGGTTAAGGAGTGAATGAATGAGCACTGTTCAGGGAATGAGACAGATGGAATACAAAGAGAGGAAAGGTCAGCCTAAAATAAACACATTCATACATCATCAGCCTTCAGAACCAGAAAGGGAAACGCATGCAAGTTTACGAGGACTTTCATTGGCACGGGGCCAGAGGGAAAAAAAATGGATTCGGGGATAACAGAGAGATGATTATTTGTAAATTGTAAGAAGAGCCCTGCATAGTGTCAATTCTTCTTTTGACCACCAGAGGGTGTGTTATACTTTTGGATACAGCCATTATGATCAAGAGAAGGAATAAACCAGCTGTCTTTACATTGGCATATGATTAAATAACATAATATGATCACTTACAAGCGGAGAGTTGATACCATCACTATGCTTCTCCTTCTCAAAATAGCATCTGTTTTATGGGTTGAACACATGTCTTTTTTTTTGCCAAGTATGGATGTTTTCAAGTATCTTTTAACCTACATACTGTGTTCAAATATCTGCTGACATTCCCTTTTAATTGATGTGGCTAAGATATGTTGCCATGTCTCACTCAAATAGATGACTTTGCATTGTTGTGTTTGTGCTTGAATGAGTGTATTTATTTGCAAAGAGTACTCCAGGGGAATTCTGCTTTTTTTTTTTTTTTTTTTTTTTTTGGTGATAAATCTCTTTGAATTGCTCACACGGCCCTAGTTGAATGTGCAAGAGAGACTGAATAAGAGCTTTTTATCATTTCAGTCTTTCAGAAGACTTTGGTTCTCTAGGTGAGCCGGTTCTGTTTACTAGCTACAACCCCAAAATGCAATTGAACATTTAAACCACACAAAGATAAAACATGCTATTTATAGCTCTTTTCAAGATGTTTTCTTTTAAATTGTGTTACATGTTCTGAAACTGTATATGCAAAAATGCACCAGAGCATTGTGTGTGTGTGTGTGTGTGTGTGTGTGTGTGTGTGTG